GTGGGAGCTGGGCTGCCCTCCCCCGCCCGCCCGGTCTCCCAGTCACCCCGGCAGGGAAGGGCCAGGCCCAGATGCCACAGGGGCCAGAGCTGGCCTGGGGGTGGTCCCTGATGCCCAGGGAGGCTCAGGTGAGGCCTCCTATGGGAGTGTGTCCGGAGAGGCCCTGTGAGTCTCTGAGCTGCACCTGAACCAGGTGGGGGGGAGCCTGCCTGCTCTGGGTGGGGGCAGGGGAGCAGGACTCGGTGACGCCCACCAAAAGCAGCCATCGCCTGTGGGACTTTTGTGCTCCTTGCAGCTGCCTTCCCAGCGTGCTGTCTGTGGGGGACGCCTGCACCCCTGGACTGCGCACCCCCCTCCTCTCCCTGCTCGCCTGGTGGTGCCCCTGGCTTGGGCAGCCCAGCCTGCGCTCCAGCCCCACCCACTCACTATCTACCCACCAGCCCTGCACCCAGCCCCTGGGGAAGAGGAGCAGACGGGCCTCATGGGGGGGTTGGTGCCCTCTGGTGGCTTCACCTTGAATTCACATTGTGCCACGCCCTGGCTGTGTCCTGGGGGCCTGCCCCTCGTCCTGAGCAGGAGGTAGGGTGCCAACCCACTGCCACCTTGGAGCAAGCTCCTGTGGGCTCAGTCCCTGCACGGCCCCCTTCCCACCTGGGACCAGGGTGTGCCTAGCAAGACTGGGTCCGTTTGGGAAGCTTTTGGTCCAAATGTGCAGATTTTGCGGGGACAAGATGCCCAAGGCAGGAGGGCAGGGAGCCCTGGGCTCAGGCAGAAGGCCTGGCTCTGACGTGGCCTGTGGGTCAGGAGCTGAAGTGCTGGTCCCCAGGGAGGCCTTCCCTTGCTGGCCCTCTGTCTGGGGGCCTCACGCTCTGGAGCCCACCCCACCCATCCTCAGACTCTCTGGGGGCAGCCGGTACGCCTCCTGCGGGGCCCCTGCTCCGCCTGGGGTGGAAGCTGCCCCCTCTGGTCCAAGCCACTACCTGCCTGTGGGTCCCCTGTGGCTGGGGCCTGTGCCAACTCCAGGCCCCAACCGTCCACCCAGAGGGAGCCAGGCCCCGCCCCCAGCCGCCCACACAGAGACCACATGGAGGGGATGCAACAGGCATGGCTCTGGTGAGACAGGTGAGACAGGTGTCTGGGTGGCAGGGCCGGCTGCCAGACAGATGGACGGATGGGACGTCACAGCCACCCCTCCACGGAAGTCGAGGGCAGCGGGCCCCCGGGAGAGACCGAGAAACTGATGTGACAGTGAGGTGGTGCGGCCACCTGAGGTGTGAGGAGCCCCGGACCCGGCGGCTCTGGGCTCCCAGGCTGACTGGCTGACCAACAACATGACACAGCTTCCAGATGGGGCGTGGCGTCATGGCATGGGGGGACTAACGCAGAGACACATGGGGACGAGGACCCGTGAGGGCCAGCGGGAGAGAGGCCCGGAGAGGGGCCCAGAGAGAGAGAGAGAGAGAGAGACCTAGTGTGCTGAGTGAGTGGAGATGAGGGCAGAGGCCACAGCGGTTGGGATGGGGTGGGTAGGGTGGGATGAGAGGGAGGGGGAGGGCACGCCTGATGCACGGGACACAGACACGCAGGGGCGAGAGAAGAGTCGGAGACGGGACTGGGCGTTCTTCCCCTTACCGTGTCTTTGGAGGACCTACGTCTCTTGAAGCTGGAAGCCAGGGTGGAGGTGATAGCCCTAAATGTGGCTTTCTTTTTAGGGTCAGGCTCTGCTCTACCACTCTTTCTATCCTAAAATGAATATGTATAAGCGATTAGACAGCTAAGGGGGACGGCCACACCTGCCCTCGCCTGCTCCTTGGGGGCCGCTGGCCGGCCGCTCAGGCCCTGCTCCTGCCT